GGGGGGGGGGGGGGGCTCAGCACCCTTTTGGGCCCAAACAATATAAGACGGGAAAATTTAATACACACCATTATTAGAAGTTACCTTGGGAGTAAAAACGATTTATACATACTTTACAAAAGAATATAGTCTTTGCCACAAATTTCTTATCCGGATCTTTTCAACCCAAAGTCCCGGGCATTCTGTCAGATCAATAATCTAGAATTTTAAATATCAAAGGTTTACACCATCATGTTGCAAAGAAAATAGGGATTAGAATATTCGAGTTTGTGGCAAAGACTCAATTCCTTTTGAATGATTAAAAGATTTGATTAAAAGGATTTAAAGGTGTCCCTCGCAATTTTTATTTTTCAAGATCAACATTAAATTTTAAATCTTTTTTATAGAACATTATCTCATCTCATAACTGAGAATTTATTTTTTTTGCTTCTTTATAATTTCAAACCGAATTGTAAAAGGGATTTTAGTCACTTTTACCAAACATATGAAAATGTAAATGATCTTTCTTTATTCAAAAAAAAATACAATTTATGCATGAAAAGTCATAACTAGAAAACTCTGTAATAGAAAGACGATTTTAAGACTCAAGTTATGGCTTTAAATAGTCCAATGAGCTTGGGACACAGCAATTGCACAGTGAAAACAGACACATTTCACTTAATTAGTGATTTAATAAGTGTCTATAGTAAAAGTTTTTGCTGTGAATTAACCTGAAAAACACAGTATTGCTATAAAGTCGTCTTCCTTTTTCAGAGTTTTCTGGTTATCACCGTATATTGCACAATGTATTATTAAATATGGACAATTATTACACATTTGAATAAAAAAGAATCTTGAAATTATGAAATATAAAAATATTTTTGAGTATATCGTTTAGTACATGCATTTAAAGTACAAAATATGCCTTTTAACATTTTATTAACACACACACGTCTTCACAAAATTCATAGTAATATTACCAATAAAATATAATTGACATTTAAACATAAAGACAACAAAATAATGTTTATAAGATTTATTCACACAGAATTAAAAAGATATAAAATGTACTTATTATACATATATTAGATATATTGCATTTTTTTTCAGAAAATTTGCTCATTTGTTTTACAAAAAAATGAAAAAATTGGCGACATTGATTATAAATCATTGCATAACGTATTAAACATTTCAGTAATTAAATCATTACATGATCAATCAACATATAAATAATGATCATTCTTGTATTACTAAAATTATGTCGCAATGCCCCTATATTATAAAACTTTCTCTTTCACAATTATTTAAAGAAAAAACAAATCAAAACAAGAGGTATAAAACAGGAAGAAATAATTGAGCTTTGTCACTGATATTTTAAAAACAAACAAATAAATTCATTGACTTTACAGTCTTAAATTCGGATCCCGACTGAAAAAATTTTCTGTGGGAGAGTGGAATCTTTTTTATTAGATTTCTTTGTTCCGACGCCCAAGGTTATAATGCAAGGAAAGTTAATTGCAGTTGCGTATACTTTGCGTACATATTAAAACCAGTTCTCTCTGGGCGGCATTTATAAACAAGAATAGATGCATCAGTGTTCGTTTAGTATCCGAGGAGGTCAAAAGCATTAAATTTTGATAATTTTGAAAATTCACATAAAAGTTTCCTATGACCAGAATATTTCATTGATTTTTTATGTTAAGATGGATCCAATGTCAGGCTTAGACATCCGTCTTGTGTTTACATTACCGCCCGGAGACAGTAAAACTGCAGTACAAAAGATGCGTACACCTCTGAAATAACTTTCCGATAATAATAACCTTGCCGACGCCTCTCTTCTATTATATAAAAATGAAAGACAAAATATTATAATTATTGTAATTCATATTGTACTCAAATAATCTGATGATGATGATGGTGTAAACCTTTGATATTTCAAACTTAGATTATTTGATCTAACAGAATTCATAGTTTAAAATATTAAAGGTCTCCGACATTGGGGTTCAAAGATAAAAGGATTATGGCTAATGCTCAATTCCTTTATGTGAAATTACATGTTTGATTCGAGAATTTGTTTATCTATCTCTATGTATATAAAGCTCTTCGATCATACATATATATGTATGTCTATTATATATAAGAATTTATATGTTAGCTATAGCTGGCCAAACACTGAACCAAATTGGCTGACTTTTTTTTAGGGAACCCTTTTGTACCCCGGGAGTAACATAGACTTAATTTTTTTTTTCAAAATTCAAAATTTTTTTCAAGTGTTTCTTAAATCCCATGGGAATCGCCGAGCACTTCAGCCAGTTTTTTATAAATTCGAAACATTTTCCAATAGATCTTCAATAAGAGAAGTTAATATTGAAAACATGTAATATTTTTATCTTTTTAAATAGTTTTTTTATGAGTTTTCTGAAAAAGCATATCGCGTTTATATATATTTGATTAAATATATATGATATTGTTAAAACATTTTTTGAGTTTTGTGAAAAAAATATCGCGTTTCACGTTTTTGACAACTATTTAAAATGAATGCATACTTTTTGACTTTATTCTCTAAAATCATTGATTTACTAAAATTAACTTCAGTGAGAAACTGAAACCTACGAAATAAGAAGACGACATTAGCACAATTATTAAGAGCAGTTAATCTATTTGTAAATTTAGCTTGTCTGTCTGTCTGTTTGTGTGTATCCAATAAACGTCAAAACGGCTGAACCGATCAGGCCCAAATTTTGTGTAGGGCCTCGTACGTGGCCCCAGGGAAGGTTTATGGCAAATCAGACTTTAAATATGTAATCTTAAAATATTTTTATCTTAAATTATTTAATCTTGTAAAATTTTGAAAATGCTCAAAAAAATATTATGAAATCCACAAATAAAAAAAATTACACTGTACAAAGAGAAGATGCTCACAGATAAAGCCACAATTAAAAGTTGAAAAAGAAGATGGGTTGGGTTTCTTTTGATTAAAATAAAAAAAATACTCTTTAGAGGATATACAATACATGCAGTGCACACTGCACCACACTATACTTTCAGTAGAAGTAAATATTTCCATTTACTGTTATAGCGCCGATATAAGCATTTATCTCTAATTGGATAATGAGATGGATAGATTGATAGATGTTAACGCCATGCAATTTATATTGGTTCAGAATAGACAACAAACACATGGCTGAACCCTGATTGGATCAGGCGCTAATGGACTCGGCATACAGGAGTGACCAGATAGAAGGAGAAAGTAAAATTGTATGCAACATTACTGGTACGACCTTGTGACCTTGTAGCTCCATATAGTTTTGGTTTTAGACACCATAGAGCAACATATTTATTTGTTTACATAAAAGAAATTCAAAACATTTTGTTGCGTTTCGCCATGAGCTCTTTGATAAGAGGAGTTATGTTAAAAACAATTCTAAGATTGGAAGGAACATGAGTCTTTGTCGCAAAATAAATTATTATAATGCCTATATCTTTGCAGCCTGATGGTGTAAACCTTTGACATTTCAGAATATTTTTTTTATTTAACAAAATTTATAGCTTGAAATATCTAAGGTCTACAACATTGGGTTGCTTAGATAGGGATTATATTTTGTAAATTTGTGACTAAACCTGAATATGTTATGAGAAATATTAGTTTCAATTCAATTGCAAATTACACAATGTGACAATCCTGAGCGACCTTTTCTAAGCACGTATAATAAATGTATTAAAAGACTTTTGATATATATGATAAAAACAATAGTTAAGTTAAAACAACAAATATTAGTGCAACTACCGATGGTTCAAATTATCTATAATTTTTTAATAAATCTTTTTCTATCTGTAGTGTATAATTCGCCACAATAAATATATTATCTATGAATATTATCCAATCTTTCTAAATTAGACTAAATAATCTTTCTATCTATCTATCATCCCACGGAATATATCTTTCTATCCGCAAGTTGTATCTATCTATCTAGTATCTATCTATCTTTATAAGAGTATCTATCTATCTGGTTGGAGTAAGTACACACAAAGCCTAAACATGGCGGCTTAAGGCACCCGCACACTAGTGCAGTGTACACCCTACGAATAGAAACACCGAAACTTCGCAAATTTTAGATGTAAAAAACCTCCAAATTTTCATCGACAGTTCTGGCCAGTGAAAATCTAAGAAATACGCAAGTGAAATTGTGGCAGTTTTTCCTTTTTTCTTAATCATTTCTGGTTTTTATAAATTATAAATCTGTCCTTAATTTGTCGTGCACATACTCTGCCGTTCCCTAAACTTTATTTAAAGAAAAAGTTTATAAATATCTCTCTTTTGAAACAAATGATAAATGTAAGTTTAAAAAAATGAGTTTTTATGTGTTTAATCTAAAAAATGGTGTTTTTTTTTTGCAAACTTGCAAATTTCTCAGCACGCATTTATGCAACAAATGCAACTAACGCAACACAAAAATAGCAATGATAATAATAATTAATGATGATACGAAGATAAAAATTATGATAACATTTTTTTTCTTACGTAAACTTTTTGCAACTAATTAAGATATTTTCATTAACAATTAACAATAATAACCAAACTTTGAACCTTTATCTTTAAAGAGATACAAGCTGTCTCCCTTAAGGATTTTTACAACAAAGAAAAACATGAATTCAAAATTGAACAGCTCATATTTTCTTTTTGGAAGTTCTATGTTAGGAAAGACTACAAAAGAAATTGAGTCTTTGCCACGAACTCAAATTTTCTAATACCTATATACTTGCAACCTGACGATGTAAACCTTTAATATTTCAAACTTTTAGTTTAGTTTAGTTTTAGTTCATAGTTTGAAATGTTAAAGGTATACTGCAATGGTTTGCAAAGATATAGAGGATAGAAATAAGAGTTTGTGGCAAAAACTCAAATCCTATACGAATTAAAATTTACCTTGGGTTTCTGACCAAATTCTTTTTCTTTTCTGACCAAAATGGAAAATGTATCATTTACTACACCCTTTGGGTTTATCATTGAATCCCTATTTGAATTTAATTCCTATCCCTATATCTTTGTAACCCAATGACGGAGACCTTATAAAATTTCAACTAAGATTTCTGTTAGATCAAAAAATCTAAGCTTGAAAAATCAATGTTTGCAAAGATATAGGGATTAGAAACTTTGAGTTTTTTGTCAAAACTCAGTTACTTTCCATTGGTTCTAATTTTTCTAAGAGTAAAGGACATTCCTAAGCCAGCATATATTAAAAAACATCAAAACTTACGTCGACAAATATTCGATGGTGGTTGCTGCTAATCTTTCTTCTATTTGAAATGTCTATCAAGAGAAAATTGTTAAAAACGACTCATACCGAAGAAATTTGCAATATTCGACTCGGATCAGAAAAAATCAATTTAATTCCAAACAAATCATTCAGATATTCCAACCTAAAATCATCTATTTTTTTTCGACGCATTCGTATATAGTTTATATTTCATAATATTTTTTATTTTTTATGAGTTATCTTTGAAATCATTCATTCCTGTTTCAAGGATTTTTGATAATGAAGACGACATTTTCATATTTTCCAGGAATTTTTGAAATTCCAGCGCCAGCCGTGAAAACAAGTTATAAGCCAAATATCAATTTTAAAAACAATATCAAAAATATTTTGAAATATCAAATATAAACAAATGCGTCGAAAAAAAATCGATGATTATAGGTCTGAATGATTTGTTTAGAATAAATTTTAATTTTTTTACGAATTGTAACTTTCTAAATTTGTATGGACGCTAAGTTCTTCGGTATGAGTCGTTTTTAACAATTTTCTCCTTTTAGACGCAACAGATAGAATTAAGATTAGTAGCAATCACCATCGAATATTTTTCGATGTAAGCCTATACCCATTTTAGTTATTTTGCGAAAACTCCCTTTAAATTTTAACTTCTTCTTCTATCTAGCTTGCAGTGGTTTGCCAATTATTTTTCATTTATATAATTTTATCTGTTTTCGTAGATTTTATTTAATTTTCTGTCTCACTTCTTTCAATTTATCTAATTAGTAATTATTCTTCTGTTTCAGACTTGCAGGAAATTATGCTGATCTGTATGTAGCTATATTAGGTAGAGTTATATATAGTTTTTCATTCCCATGCAGTGCTGTACATTGTTTTGGACAATAATTTTCTCTTTAACGAGAAGTTTCAAGCTCGGGACGGAATATAATATAAAAAGGCGAGATCATCCGAGAAACAGAAAAAAATTAAATTAAAAAACTTTATAACATTTTTTCTTGATGTCATTTTAATTATGAAATGTTTGTGTACTTGAATTGATACAATTGCTATTTCTAGAAATAATGAGCTTTTTAACAAAGCAAAGAAAAATTTCATATTATTTTCATTTAAAATTATATTTTTGCTAGAAAAATCAACTAAGTTTTTTTTTAAAGAAAATCTGGGAATCAATTAAAATTATTTACAGCTAATTTAAAATTATCGATATTTACCTTATAGCACTTTACCATAAAGTTACCATTAATTCAAAGTACACAATAGTTTCATAAACAATATTTATTTATTGTTAAAAATCTAATATAGAAAAGAATGTCCAAATGTTCACTTTTGGAATCAATAAGCAATAGCTTAAAAATTATTAATTTTTTTTGTTTATTTGAAATTTTTGTTATGTTTTCATCAGGTTAAATGAAAATTGGCCTATCCCAACTAGGATTAAAGATTCAATTATCACGAGTAAATGACTCCTAGAGAAAATTGCTGCCAAACCGAAAAAAATCTCATGGAAACCTGTTCTTAAATTAATTTGTTTAATTCACAAAGATCCAAACAGCTATGAAAATTAAGCACCAATTTTTAAGACAGAGTCAATTTGGAAATTGGGGATACATTACTAATATATTCGCTTATACATTTGAGTCCGTATTCCGTAACCTCCCCAATTTAAATGTAGCATGATCCGAGCCGGTATAATATGCACTGTATATGCATTCCGTTGTACCGTCCAGTCTGGATGACCCACATCCAGTGTGCACGTTTTATGCAACAAATGTAGCCTAGCAAGATCACAATGTAACGTGTGCAACTAAATAACTCCAATAACCTTGTATCTTGCTTCAGTTTAAAAGAAGTAATTGGCAATATTTTTGATGAGATCATGAACATTTTGTATGAGTGTTAATTTTGTTTAAGATGGTCCTTGATGCAGGGGAGGATGTAATGAGTGTGGGGGAGAATATAAAGCTGATGTTGCCGTTCACTCCGCCAATAGGTAAACAATAGTCAATACTGTGTACACATGTACAGCCTTACAGGGTTCATACTGTACACTGTGTTTACTGTACAGGGTTCATACTGTACACAGTGTTTACTGTACTGGGTTCATACAGTACACGCTGTACATTGTACGGTGTACAGGGTACATACTGTAAACTCTGTACGTATTGTACACTGTACAGGAGTCATACTTTACACTGTGTACAATGTACTGTGCCCGAAATTTGAAAGAGTATCGTTGAACTCAACTCCCCAGTTTCCTTTTTGGGGTCTTGACATTTGTGTAGATTTTGATTTAAGAGGTTAAAAAATTTAGAAACTAGATAATTTAATATTTCATAACAAAAATATTGATATCCACAAAACTGCCTTACCCCATTCGTGAAGCCCGGGTTCCATAACTGGTTTTCATAACAATACCCTCCTGCCTTAAGTTCCTTAAGTTTTTGGCTCTGTAAATTGTGTACACAGTACAGGGTTTATACTGTAGAAGTACACTGTGTACACTGTACAGTGTAGACTTCCAAGGGTGTACACTGTACAATCTGTGAGCTTACATATATATATACGGTTCTACATATAATTTAGTGAATCCCATTAAACGTAGAATAAGATGAAGACATTTATATCTCAAAGAATTATGATGTCTTATTATTACCAAGGAGTATGGAATAGAAGGGAGATACAACTAACGCGGACCGCCATACTATATGATTATGCATGCTTTGCAGACGGGTACTCCATTTGTATAAGAAATATTCAGAATAGGCTATTGTATACGCGGTAGTTGTACATCTTATTCAAAGAAGTACCGTCTGCAAAGCATGTATAATCATATGATAGGGCGGTCCGCGTCAGTTATATCTCCTTCTATTCCATGCTCCTTGCTTATTACCTTGTGTAGACTCAAGTTAAAATTTTAGACAGTGCAAAAAAATTGTTTAGACTCTACTGTACAATACACTGTATACTGTATAGGGGTAGCTTACTGTACGTACTATGTACATACATATGTATATTATCTGTAGAAGGTCATACTGTACATGTTTTTTACAGAATATTTTTACAAAAACAACTTGCTGAGTTTGAGTACTTTCCAAATAAATGATTACGGAAAGGACAGCTAGTTCTTTTTGAGGATGTGTTGCGTGGTACTTAACTTGAGTTATAGCGATAAGAAAATTGAAAAGTATTAATCCAGTTCTTATCTAAACACTTATTACAGTACAAAAATGATACATACATAAAAAGCTCTTTGCTCAACTTTTTTAGTTTCATTATACATTTTACATGTTTAAATATATATTTTCCAAGACAAAATGTTTCATGGGTCTGACCTAAGCATCAGTTGGATTAAAACTCTCTATATATATATACAGTGATAACCAGAAAAACTCTGGAATAGGAAGACGACTTTTAGACTCAATTAATGCCTTTATATAGTCCAATGAAATGATTCGCAGTAATTGTGCAATAAAAACATGCACATTTTGCTTAAACAATAATTTAACCAATTAATAGTAAAACTTTTTGCTTTGTAACAACAGCAATTACATTTGAGTATTGCTTTTATATCGTTTTTCTATTCCAGATTTTTCTGGTTACCACTGTATATCTGTAAACAGTTGGAAAAAATTGGCCGAATTCTTTGGGTAACCCATAGCCATAGGTACCCGGGGCGTGACATGAACTAAAAAAACTGAATATTTTTTTCAAAAATCTAAATTATTTTTCAACATTCAATATCTTTTTTTCCGGGAGTGTTCTTGAAAATTTAACGGGCACTTCAGTCTTCATATGGTAAACTAACTTATTGATGATAATAAACATGTTTTGTCGGAATTCATTCTCCCTTTTCTTTCCCCACCACTTCTTTCATTCTTTCCCCCTCTTGCTACCTCTTTCTCCTCACTTCGTTCTTCTATTTCCCTCACTTATTCATTTCTTTCCCCTCACTTCTTCCTTTCCTTTCCCCTCACTTCTTTCTTTCGTTACACTCGCTTCCTTTCTTCTTTGCCCCTCACTCCTTCATTCCTTTTCCCTCACTTCTTCCTTCCCTACCCCTCACGTCTTCTTTTCCTTTCCCTCACTTCTTCATTCCATTACCTCACTTCTTCATTCCCTTACCTCACTTCTTCATTCCCTTACCTCACTTCTTCATTCCATTCCCCTCACTTCTTCCTTTCGTAACACTCACTTCCTTTCTTCCCTTCCCCTCACTTATTCATTCCTTTTCCCTTGTTGTCTTTTTCGGAAAGATAAAACATATGGCAAACATTTTGTCTGGATAGTTCAACCTCAGCAGCTAAATACATCTTGGATATATTTCTGCACTGGTTAAAGGGACTGTAAGCCGCTAAATACATCTTGGATATATTTCTGCACGGGTTAAAGGGACTGTAAGTCACTAAATCTGATCAATAATGTTGAAGTTAATGCCGTTATTATAGGTTACAAAATGTTTAACTCCAATAATTCCTTTATCTTTTCCTTTTGTAGAAATGTGCAAGTCCACAAATGAACTTACAAATGAAAATATTCAAATTTATAAACATTAATATCTAATTCATACTTGATCAGACAAAGCTTCTAAGTCCGGGTACCGTTGTGAATCAGGCATTGCCATCTTTGCATGGAGGGTCACTTAAAATTACTCTTACAGCCATCCCTTTAACGATTTTCAGAAAAATCTGTGAAAATTAGCGGACACTGATTTGCTCTCAAAAACTGGATATATGTTGTTCGCTCCTGATTGGCTAAAAACAGAAAAACGAAAACAATCCTCGTATTGTTAATATGCATTTTTTTGTCATAAAATCAAATCCAATATTATCAAATATTTTCTGTTTCTCGAGTTGAGCTTATCATTTTCTATAGTGCCAAAGTACAGGTTTAAAGTATAAACAAATAATACACAACAGGAATTCTTGGAGCTCAGCAGTTTTCTTATCCAAATATTTTTTGGTGTGAAAAAAGAACAACCCCCCCCCCCCACCCCAGCCTTTAGACATAACAAACTATTTTAGTCAGATTGAAATTTTTATTATCTATATATTTAATTTGTTTTGTTATTTTGTCTGTTTTTTGTATGTTTGTAACCGATAAACGTCAAAACGGCTGAACCTATCTGATTCATATTTTTTGTGGGACCTCACATGATCCCAAAAAAGGTTTATGGTTATAAGATTTTTTTTAAAATCCTATTTTTTAAAATCCACGAAAAAAAACGATAACAGAGCAACAAAATAAAGTTCAATCCTAGTATTTTATACTCTACATCCTTTCATTTAAAATCTTTTAAATCATAAAAATAAATTGAAATTGAAAATATTGTCTATTTTTGTTAAAATCTTTATTTAACTGAGAGTTAATTGAATGGAAATATCTTAAAAGATTTGTAAAGTCATTTTTAATTTCAAAAACTTGCAAAAAAATTTTTTTTGATGAATTATTTATACTAATTGGTATACATTGAAAGGTAACAATTTTCATTGATGTTGGCTGTTTGTAAAACTTCTATTTATAAAAACCAAATTTTAAAGTTTATTTAGCAAAATTCGTAAATTGTATATTTGAATTATTAATCTTAAGATTGAGTTCAAAAGAATTCTTTTTTTTCTAATTTTTAGAGGAATGTGGCTCTATCTGTTGGCATCTTCTCATTCTACAATATAAAACAAAACAAAAAAAAGTTGCGGATAAAATATTTTTTTTACTCCGATCGGTTTAGCTGTTTATTGGATACAAACGGACAAACAGACAGACAAACAAGCAAAGAATATATATAGATTTAAAAAAAAAATCAATACAGAACACTGTTAAAGGCCTGTTTTAAGATTTAAACCAAAAATCCTGTTCAAAAGGAAAAAAATTATGCTATGTTAAAAAAATTTAATAAAAAAAATCCTTTCAGGCCTGGTTTGAGATTCAATTTTGTACTCTTTAAACAATACCACAAATCTGCTTAACACTTTTTTATTGATGGAAAATTATCTCAAAAAAATACACTTTTTTTGGGGGGGGGGGTCAATATAAGTCGTTATGTCTTCTGTAATATTTTTCAAAATATCGAACCAACCCTACTACGTACTTTTGCACGAAACGTTTTGCGAAACTGCACTAACCCTAGCACAACTTGCACATTTATATTAGTTTGGAATCCTCGGTCGCGAATATCTATCTATCCAAATGTTCTTCTATCTATATATCCTTCCAGACGACTTACTATCTATCTATCTAACCAGCCTCCAAGGACGCCAAGTTCAGGGTTGCCTTGTACTGTATCCAAAATTAGATTTTTGAATCTTTTTATATTTTTTAATTTTTAAATTAATTTTCGAAAGCTTTTATAAATTTTGAAAATATCTTGGGGGTAAGATGCAAATCTTGAGGCAGTTTTCAAGGGCTGATTTTTTAAAGTTTTGTCACTCTATAAAGTGAGTAGTGACTTGCACATTCCTGCTTCAAAACAATATGGAGGAAAATGTTAGAATTAATTACGTTTCAACCTTGAAAAACGACGATATCTTCAACACTATGAACCATAACATATGATTTAGTGTTTACCGTTGGATATCGGTCATGTCCCCTTTAAAGAGAGGGTCAACGACCAATGCCCAATGATCAATCTTTAATGATTCAATGGTCGTTATTCCATGATTAAATTGATTGCTAGTTAACGATCAATATCTGTAAGATCGGGTAACCCTAAACCATCCTCCTTTTCTCTTCCTGAAACTGCATCTTCAGATATGCAATTTTAGTTCGTCGCGACCCCGTCTAGGGAGCAGGGGGAGGACAGAACACTTACAGCTTAGAGATTATACAGCTTACGGATTGTTTAGGGATTATATGGTTTAAGGATCGTACAGCTTAGGGATTATACAGCTTACGGATAGTTTANCTATCTATCTATCTATCTATCTATGTATCTATCTATCAATCTATCTATCTATCTATCTATCTAGTGAAACGGCTACTGGGTTGGAGAAAAACTGATTTCAAATCTGATCTTGAAGAGAGATGGTCCGAGAAAGCGGTCAAAAGTCTTGTTAAAAAACTCAAGAAAAATGGTAATTTTTGTTTTTGTTTACTTTCATCCTTTTTTCATTTACACGGTCAGCCGTAGTACATTTAAATTTCCGAGCCGGGTCAACCTTTCCGGTCCCAGTTTGTACTGTGTCGCCCGGACATTGGGTAAATAAAGCAGAAACTCAATAGGACTAGCCGGTGCAACAAGGTTGACACGAACTGACTTTAGGTTGAATTTACTTTTACTAAAGGGTCAGAGGTGCGTGTTTGATTGAATATTATTCATGGTTTAGATATTGCAGGGGAAATTAGTTCCAAAAATAACACTTGGCCCATTTCTAACACTGAGTAGTTTTGGAACTAATATCCCCTGTATTGCACTTTTTCTTTGATCTAATGTTCCAGAACAATCAACTTCACTAATAACTAAGATTTGTTTTAGAAGTAGTCCATGGCATTAAACAAAAAGGAATAACTACATTTAAATTGTTTTAGGATCGTTTTAAAAAAGAAAGATACTGCTTCTACCTTCTGGTTTTGAACTGTTTCGAAATTATTACAGTAAATCTTGTAACTACATATTTTAAATTTTTAATCTGGAAAGCATTTACAAAACTTTATAAAATCAAACAATTTTCACATAAAAACTGACCCAGAAAACTGACCCAGAAAACTGACCCAGAAAACACTTTTAAAAATGCACATTCATTTAAAATATTGGAAGTCTTCTTAATTTTTAACATTGATGGTTTGCAGAATTGATTTTTTTGTTCGGCACTTAGGTTTCATTTGAGGAGATGTTTCTATCTGTTTTAAATTCTTTTTTTTAAAAAAAGATTTAAGAAAAAATAATTGCGAAAACATTATTGCGTAAACATATTTTTTTTAATTTAACATTTTAGACTCTCACTGACTTATTTGTTAGGTGAGTCAGAAGAAAGGACTTCCTCACGTGATATACTGCAGGTATCCAGATTGTTGATACTTTTGAAATTCTATTTTAACTGGTTGGGTAAGGTCAAACAATGAACTTATGCCGCAAACCAATTCAAGGACGTCCCGTCCCGGTTCCAATAATTGATGCATAATGTCATAAATGGCTGTGATAAAGGAATTGAGTCTTTGCCACAAACTCTGATTTTCTAATCCCTATATTTTTCCAAACCAAATTATTTTAGATCAAATAAACTAAGTTTGAAATACCAAAGGTTTACACCATCAGTTTGCAAAGATATAGGAATTAGATAATTTGAGTTTGTGGTAAAGCATTAATCCCTTTACCAGTCCGCCCTTTTATCTATTTGGTTTTCATTTAATAGGAAGTGAAGTTGTTTGGTATAAAATAACGGCGTTGTGCCGGCAAATTTTATGTAACGCGTTCTATTTTAAGCAAAGATATTAAAAGATCAAATTATACAGTACAAACGCAGGACATTTCAATTAGGTCTACAAGCTAGAAATGTAAACAAATCTGGGTAAAATCATATAAACTGATCGTACTGCATTGTTTATCTCAAAACCCGTTAAAGAGACGAAAGAGAAGAAAGAGAAGAAATATTTATGCATTGCCTAAAATCATTTCTATATCATTTCTATTTCTATAATATTTTTGAAAAAGTAAGTAGCTGCCCCCACTGTTCAGCGTACACTTTTTTGATCATTTACAGAGTTTTGATCATTTGGCATTTGATCTTTTGATATTTTTCCTATTTTATGTTTTAAAACGTGCTATTTTAACCCAACTCAAGTAAACATTGATTTAATAATCATATATAAAATAATCCACGCTTCTTGCTCAAAACTCAAAACGTTCCAATTCTCTTTCCTCAAGAGTAACATATTTAGAAAAAATAACTTAGTTCATCAGTTTTTTTATTTCTTTTTTTGTTAATAATTTAAACCCTGAACATCAGTACATCAAAGTATACAAAAGAAATATTGCGCAATTTTTGCGTTTTACTTGTCGAATTTTTAATTTTAAAAACAAAAACAAAAAATCAAATATCGGAGGGTAATAATTTCATTGATATGCATTTTATTGTAAATAAATATAAAATAGGTAGCTAAATAAAAATTAAATAATTAAAAGTAAAATAAGTGAATATTGTCAAATATAGAAATAAAACTATATAGAAGGATTTATAATATAGAAATATTGGAGGTTTCATAATATTGAAATATAGGAGGTTCATAATATTAAAGTATAGGAGGTTTTATAATATTGAAATATAGGAGGTTTTATAATATAGAAATACAGAAGGTTTTACAATATAGAAATATAGGAGGTTTCATAATATTGAAATATTGAAGGTTTTATAATATATAGAAATATATGAGGTTTTATAATATAGAAATATAGGAGGTCTTATAATATAGAAATACAGAAGGTTTTATAATATAGAAATATAGGAGGTTTCATAATATTGAAATATTGAAGGTTTTATAATATATAGAAATATAGGAGGTTTTATAATATAGAAATATAGGAGGTTTTATAATTAAGAAATATAGGAGGTTTTATAATATAGAAATATAGGAGGTTTTAATAATATAGAAATATAGGAGGTTTTATAATATAGAAATATAGGAGGTTTTATAATAAAGAAATGGGCGCGAAGTACTCTGATAGTTTAGTTATATATATAGAATAAACCAATTTTTTGCCC